AGTATTTATTATTTAATAAATTAAAATTAATTTATATATTAATATTTTTAAATATTATAATTAATTATTTAATAAAAAAACTATAAGTATTAATCAAATTAAATGTAATTTACATATCTTTAATAAAATGTTTGGTGACGATAATCAGGCTACAACTTACGCCATAAATTTGTTAGAGAAGACTTTCTCCGTTCAATAAAGACCCGTGTATCCCGCATTTCACGAGTTTGCGGTCGCTGCGAAAGGAAAATGCAAACGGTTTTTGATGAAGAATCTCTAGATTAAGCATTTTTTATTTTATGAGCACAGAGTGGGCAACTCACTTTGATAAACATAATTAAACACAGAGGAGTGCTATGTACATATTTAGTGTGGATTCGAGTGCACAATCATTTCTCTTTTCGTTTGGTTCACTTCAATTTTTTTTTTTTTTAATTTAAAATAAAAATATACTCGGGACAATGAAGGCCCGATTACTGCATTTCTCTTAAACGTATTCACGTGTTTAGGTGCCGTTAGAGCCATTGTAAAAGGAAAATATTGCTATCGGGGAAGATTAAGCATTTTCTATGAACACAAGAATTGATGCTTCACATGTGTTCTCCTAGTAACTTTGAGTAAGACATGTTGGGAGTTTGGAATCTTTGAATTTATTAATTATTATGTTGTTAAAGGACAATGATAAGTTTACTCTCGCTATCCACACACTCCATTACACTTTTCAATTTTTATTAATTTTCGTTAATTACACTTTAACTCCGTAACCATCTTTCCTTTCTCCTCCTTACTGTTTATCATCCTCACCAACCAAACTAAAACCTGCAATTTTATTTTGGTTCTTTGATTTTCAACCTTCTTTTCCCTTCTCCTCTCTTTTTCTTTTTCTTTCCCTCTCCTCCCCTCTTTTTCCTTCTCCCAAATCTAAGTTCTCCATAAAAACCCACAGGGTCTCTTGGAGGAGGATGATGGAGGAGAGAGAAAAAAAAAAAAAAAAGGAAGAAAGAAAGAGGAAGAAGATAATGGATGAAGAGGATGAGCATGGAGGTGAGGAGGGTTTTTTGATTTTCAACCTTCTTTTCCCTCCTCCTCCTTTCTTTTTCTTCTTCCCCATGGGTTCTTTTCAAGAGAACCCATATCTGGGTTCTCTTGAAGAACCCCAAGGGTTCTCTTGGAGGAGGATGATGGAGGAGAGAGAGGAGGAAAAAAAAAAAAGGAGGAAGAAGATAATGAATGAAGAGGATGAGAAAGATGGATCTGGCTAGTGAGGACGATAAACAACAAGTAGGAGAAAGGGAAGATGGTAACGGAGTTAAAATGTAATTAACGGAAATTGAAGGGTGTAACAAAGTGTGTGAATAATGAGGGTAAATCTATCCTTATCTGTTCTTAAATTAATGGTGGATAAAAGTGAGCTTTTCAGATTTTGGCAGTGCATGTCACTGAACCAATCTGTGTATATGGTATCCTAAATCAGGCTACTGATGTACGGGTAAAAAATAATGAATTTTGTGTATCTCCGGGAATTGGATGAAGAGAAAACGAATTTGTTAAGTTTAGACTACTGTTTTAAGAGGCAAAGTTAGAGCAAAAATTAAAAATTTTCTCTTTAAATATATTTAGAATTCTTATGAATTAATTGACAGTTATAGATGTTCAATATTCATTACTTTAAAAAAAGCATATATAAATCTTTGGTTTGTAACTCTAGCTTGTAATTTTTGCATAAAACTTATAGTTTAAAGATAAAATTTCTCTAACAATAATTCACATATACAGTTTAAAGATTAAGAGAATATCAAATAAAATTTCCCAAGTACTAGCTAGATAAAATTTTTATTTTTTCTTCTCTTTCTTAACAGTGGTTCCACAAAATAAAATCAAGAAGAATAAATTTGTTAATTTTTCTTACTTTGAGTGGCAAAGAAAACTCACACTTGAAAGAATATTTCCTCTCTCCTCTCTTTTTGGTGGCCGAGGTCTACAATAAAATAGTAATGAAAAATTATATTTTTTACTTCTATTTATAGTTATAGGACAATAAGAAAACTATAATAATTAATTCTAATCCAATTAAAATTACATTAGATCAAACCTAGTCACCAATTCAAAGTAAAAAACAGTAAAGAATAAAACTTTCCCCCCCTTTTTTTTTTATCTCCTTGTCGTCATCCTAATCCTTGTCGGACTACCCCACATCCCTAGTCCACATGGGCTAAGATTTCGGCCATGTAGCTCTAATGGGCTACATTTGCAACCTTAGATTTTTTCAGTTTCAACACCTGAGCTAATCTAATCTTTAACAAAATCGGATTAAATAAATTTAATTCATTCTATCAATTTAATTTTATATTTTAATTAAATTTTTTTTGTAAACAGATATCATTTTATGTAAATTAATTTTTTTTTCCATGAACTTGAATTACAGTATTTAATAAGGATTATTTTCTTCCAAAGACTATCATTTTCCTCACCATCAATCATAAAACCTCTACCCACTTGGCAAGTAAAGCAAAATTCCTAAGAAATAAATTAGGAATATCCAGACCTACCTTCTTTTTCCAAAGATAAACCCTCTCCCAATTGCCCCACCCAATTTTGTTTTGGTTATCTAAACCCCTCAGAGAAATTTTCTTTATTTATTTTAATTAGCATTATATATATTTTTAAGATGATAAGAAAAAAAATAAAGCGAAAAAATCTTATAACTAAAGCACCGCACAATGTTTCAAAAAAAGCCTAAATAAGCATATCTGACATACCAGCGAATGGGTATTAGGTGATTAAATCGCCTCTTTTTACGTGGATGTGCATTAAGGTGTAGAATTCATTATATTCTATACTTTTTGATTAATGAATTATACAAACTTTTTTTTTCTAATAAAAAATATTTATATTAACTCAACTGAGATAATCTTTAGGATACCTTAGTTTATTGTGGTTAGTGTGAAGGGAGTCTTGAAGATATTGATTCTTGAAGATATTGATCGTTTGTTTTGTCAGTGTCGGTTTGCATGGAGGTGTCGAGATGGTGGGAGGTGAAGGGTGTTCTGCCGCGTAGTGTTTTGGAATGGCTAAGTTTTTTTATTTATGGTGTGAGAGGCTGAGGGGGAAAAATGGGTGCTTTTATTTTTTAGAAAAGTGTTTTTTAGTATGGATTGTATTTTTTTTGTGAGTTATACGGTTTAAGTACTGAAATTACTAAAATATATTTAATAAAATTGTCATTATTGTTTATTTGTTAATAATATTTTAATAATTACCGTACATAAATTGCAAAAATATATATATATACAGTTCCTATTGAAAACCACTTTTCTCTATACGTTTTTTTGTTGTGGCATGGTTTATTTCGTTGTGGAGGAATGTTAAAAGTTTCAAGAAACAGACATGTTAGCAGGAGTTGGACTATATTCAGTCTAAAATTTGTCTGGATTAAAAACAAAAAAGCTGGCTGTACTTTTACATTTCAAGATTGGATGTCAAGACCAACAGATTGTGCATGTAAATCAAACAATACCAAAAGAGAATGTAAAGCTTTCTCGTGTAAGGGTAATATGGACATGGGTGGGCGTGTGTTGTGAGCTTGGAAGAAATGGTGAGTTTTGTTTTTCATTTTACTGTTGTGTTTGTTTTGTAGCTGATGTATTTTTGGATGTTATTTTGAGACTTGTTTTGGGTAAAAATACCACTTTTACACAGTATTAATCAAATTCTTTTATCTTTAGTTGATAAAAAAAAAAAATCTTTTACGATACCTTTTCGTTAGTAAACAGGAAATTAACACTTTATTCATATATATTATGAATTACATATATATTATGAATTAACACATGACACGTATAATTTATTTATTAAAAATTTATTAATTTTTATTATAAAATTAATAATTTATATATTTTAAAATACATGCATATATATAATATAATAACTAATTTAATTAAATTTTATTTATATTATATTTTAATAATTAAATAAAATAAATATTAAAAATTATATTAAACCGATTATATATTAATAACTTTTTCAAAACGATAACTAGTAAATAAATGAGTCCGATTATTGAGTGTGCATATTTAATCATTTATAAAGTGCATGTGTAGGTACACTCAGGGTCACACAACAAGTAGCCCAAAAAGGAGTTCACGTGTGAGACAGAGGCAACTAGGCAACCCGTGAACTCGGCTCGCACTTGATTCGAAGCCAAAGAAAACAAACAAAACGAAACATTTTCCATCCCCAGACGACAAAACCCAATTTATAACATGATGACACCTTGGATTCTTCGCTGCGTCTAATATTCGTACCACTACTCGAACCAGAACAGAGAAAAGAAGGTGACCCGTGACTCATTCTCAAGCGCAAGTTCTTATCAGTTATGCGGACCAACCTCAGCCTGATGGCCCCACCCTCTCTTTTGTGTTTTTACGCAACTTCAACACGTCAAAGCTGCCTTGGTCCCTGGAGGAAAATAGGGTCCACCCTCTTGCTGCAAAAATTTGTGGATGAATTTTGTGGGTTAATGATGCTGATGAGATACGTATGTGTTGGGTGTATTTTTTTTTTTTAAACAAGGAGAATTTTAAAGAAAAAGGAAAAATATGACAATTGTCTTTATTAAAATTTAAACTATTGTGTGAATTAAAGTTTTTACGGTACATTGTCTACACAACTGAGGTTGCTAGTGCATGAGATACACATGTTTGATCTTTTTTTTTTTTTTTCATCGGTCGAAAATGAAAATTAAATTAAATGAAGTACAAGACACATGTTTGATCTTTTACTTGCCGTTAGCTGGTCCTTAGAACTGTTAAAACGCACTATGCCTTAAATTAATGGTAGAGATTAAAGTGAATCTTTTTACTTTGGGAATGCAAAAAATGAAAATGATTTTGTCATTTAAAATTGAAAGAATAATGATGAAAAGATATATATTTTTAAAAAATTAACATAAAAAAATTTATTAAAGGTAATAGTAATTTTCACTTTTCTTTTACTTTTATTAATTATTTTGAGTATTTTTATGATTCTTTTTTAAATTACATATAGTATTATTCAAAAACAACAATCAACATGTATTTTATTTAATCAAACAAATAGTGTTTTAATTATGGACGATCAATGTTTACCAAACAGTGGATAGAGACTATCAATGATTATCAACAATTAATTATTATCTAATTAAATCAAACATGCCTTGTAACATTTTTTTAACAAAAAATAAGTATGCCGGCCTTGTATATACATCTTCCGATTTGTCTACATCAAGAGATAAAGATATACGTTGTACATGAGCATATGCATGCTATTCCGACACGTCTATGTCAAGAGATATAGAAATGTCAACAGTTGGTTCCAGTTTCATGCATTATGCGCGCATAAGACATAGCTAATTAATTGGTGAGCGGTTTTGTGTGTCTGTAACAAGTATTAGACTTCCTGTCTTGATTGGAATAAAATGCGAAACCTGTTGTTCTAGAGAATTATAGTGTAGATATGATTAATATAATTTTTGTAAAGCATATGCATGCTATACAACGTTTTCTGAACAATTGAAATGGAAAGAAAGGCTATTGGGACAAAGTAACAGAAGCATTTTACTTACACCCGAAACACAAAGGGATCAATAACTGTAAAAAAAGAAAAAAGAAAAAAAAAAACTGAAGGATTAATTCATGAATTACCAAAAATAAAACCCACATTGAAAAATGTATGTAACATCATAAATCAAACCTGCTTTATTCTAATTATTAAACCCACGAAGAGAGTCTGCTGGTCACCTTGCAGGTGACTCAGTTCAGATTCAATCCTTAGTCTTTTTTTTTTGTCCGAATCCTTAAACTTTCTTTCTATTGAAAAAAATGCATTATTATGAAACTAAATATGCAAATTATCCAAAGTGAAGTTTTGAAACTTCAATTCTTCGATATTGAAATCCTTCTGATCAAAACCAGCAGACAAAGAACACGATAAAACACGAAGAACCCAACCAAGATATAGATGTTGGTCCATTTCTGCACTTCATGGAGCCCCCTCTTTTGCAATACATCATCTCCCGTAAACATGCACGTCTTTGTCTCTTCATACCATAAAAGACACCGCGATTTGAGGCAGGAATACTCGTTGATGAGGAGGGCATCTAGGGCATACTTGTACATGGAGAAGAAGTGCATGAAGAGCCAGTACTTGGGCAAACTATCCTTCGAGATGAAATATCCAGAAAAAAGGAAGAAAGCACCAAGAAGTATGGTCACCAACGACGTCCCAGCAATGTAATTTGGTGCTAGGGAGCTTAAGAAGAGTACAAATGAATTCGCCATTAGTACTATTACCCATATGGCGAGAACAAAGTAAGCAAAAGCATCCCATGTAGCGCAAAGGCCCACTAAGAAGTAGACTGAAACTGAGTATATGATTGCAATGGCCAGCAAGTAGGGTAAGAACACCAGTGTGTTTGCTATAAGATATGACGAGAGTCTATAGACTCCACTGGAAGTTTCTCTGAGAAGAATGGGTCGTTCGTTGAGGAAGATTGGAAGGGTTTCGGTGGTGGAAGAGAGGAGGAAGGTGAGAGTGAAGGCAAAGAAACCTAACCTCTTCTCTATACCTTCCTTTCCGTATCCGATGTTGATGTAGATTGTTCCGAGGACAAGACCCACAATGAGAGCTTCTAATGCATTCGTCAAAAGAAGTTGTTTTGTTCTGTAAATAATTTTCCATAACCTATTATATAGAGAGCAGATTTCGCAGAGTCTGGAGCTTCGGTATCTGATTTCCTTTGCTTCCTTATCAACTATTAGAATCAGTGAAAGAATCACTGTCAGAATTATAGCTAGAATCAAGGATGAAAAGGAAAGATGTCCAAGACTTTACCTTTTACATGATCGGGAGCTGTTATGGAATCTTCGGTGGCCGGAGGAAGAGTCGGCACCGGTGTAATGGATTTACTTTCATGAAGCTGGTTTAGTATTTCCATGGCGTACTCAAGGGCGTTGAGCTGTGGAGGAACTGTGAAGCCTTTGGACTGTAGGAAGGTTTCGAATGAAGAAAGGGAGCCATGGTGAAGAACAGCTCCTTTTGACAGCAAGAGGATTCTGTCAATGGTAGAAAGGATCTTGAAGCTGGGTTGGTGTATGGATAAAATCACAGTCCGGCAACGGGAAGTGGCTATGGACTTGACGATGCTAATTACTTTATAAGCTGAAGTGCTGTCGAGACCAGAAGTAGGTTCGTCAAGAAGTAAGATGGCTGGATCGTGGAGGAGACTCAGACCTATGGAGACACGGCGGCGTTCGCCCCCAGAGAGACCGTATGCTAACATGGTGTTAGCCAGGTGCGTCAGCCTGAGCTGCGTCATGAGAGATGTAACAATTCCGCTGATATGTGACCTCTTGGGAAAGAGAAGGCGAGCGGTGAAAGCAAAGGTTTCGGAAACGGTGAGCAAAGGCAAGCAAGCATCATGTTGAGGGACGTAAGCAGAGAGCTTTCGGAATGAAGAAGGGTTGATAGCGGTGGAATTAAGTAAGAGAGTACCGCTTGTGGGGGCAGTTCGGGAGGCTAGAATGTCGAGAAGCGTGGATTTTCCAGCTCCACTGGGGCCAACAATGGCGAGCATTTGGGAGGGGTAGGCGGTCAGAGATACGTCACGGAGGATGTACGTTGGAGATGTGGAAGAAATGCTGCAATGTTTGAAGGGGAAGAATTTGGTGATGGTGGTTGGTTTGGTGTAGGAGACGGTGGACGCCGTTAATTTGTAGGTTTTGGGTGGCAGAGGAAGATGAGGAGGAGGGGGAGGAGATTCTTCTTCCATAGAGGAGGGGGAGGAGGAGGAGGAGGAGGAGGAGGTGGAGGAGGGATTGGTTGGAGCGACAGGAGTTGGGAAATAGAGATCAGTGAGCTGTGGAGAGATGTTTTTGGTTAAAGTTTCCATGAAAATGTTGATAAGTATTATGTGGTTTGAGGATAATTAAGAAGGAATGAGAATTGATAAGAGAAGATGCCCCAAGAGTTGTTTTGTCAATTGAGAAAATTGAGATCATAAACATTAAATTAGTGATGAGGTATTCTAAAAATGACTAAAAATAAGATTTCAAACTTCATTTAAGTACCCATAATGCTACATATATAATCTCATCTAACATGACCCTCCCAATCCTGATCTATTTAATTGATAAGAAATATTCCAAGTAGAAATTTCTTGTCGAAATTTTGTGATGAACATAAAATGCTCTAGAGATTATTGAAAATTAAAAAAAAAAATTGTTTAAATTTAATTGAAAGCTATTTTTTCACAATTCAAAACTATTTTTTAAAATTATTTTTTTTCTCGTCAGTAATTTAAGTAGATGTGGAAAGCCTATCCAACCTCATCTAGACTTGTTCTTTTGAGTGACTCAAAAGAAGGCTGGATGGCTGTGGATTCTGTTTATCTGATTGGCTGCAGAACCTATTTCAAGTT